GNNACTAGGTATTAGGAATTTTATACATAAAAAATTTTAAAATAAAAATTTTAAATTAAATGTAGAATAATTTCTAAATAATTGCATTATATTGCCCTATATATAATTACCGAATGCGTTGAGTTTAAATAGCAGCCTTGTTTACTTCGTAAGCTTATTTGCCATAAATTCGTGCTTCGTATTGACAAATGTACAAATTTGATTTTGACTATTAAGTTTGAGAATTACCATAAACTATTTTAGGTTTTTATCTTTTCTTAAGTTGTCATATACCATTCTTACCTTTTTTTATTTAATTCATATATTAATTATCATGAATTAGTATTCCTTTTTATATATAAAATATTATAATTTTTTTATTTATATTTTATTTTTTTATTTATAATATATAATAATCATATTTTAACGATCTTCGATTTGACATCCACATTGCATATATAAAATATAAATAATTTTATCTATATTTATAAGAAAATTAATTTTACATTTTTACTATCAAATAAAAATATAAATTATTTTATAAGAAAAATGAAAATCTAATTCATCAATACACCATTAAATAATTAATTTAATTTTTTTTATATATTTTGGATAAAATATATAAATTAAGTATTACATAAAATAAATTATAATAAATATTATAAAACATTGTTTTGTTTTATAATATATTATATAGGGAACTAAATGTTAGTATGGTATTTAAATATAAAATATAAATCGTCATCATAATTAAATATAATAAAATAATTTTGTGTTTCATAAATTTATAAATAATATATTTCGACATAAATTAATATTCTAAACTATTAAATTATATAAAATTAAAAAGCTTAAAAAATTAATAAACTAGAGACACCGAATCTATAAATATAAAATATAACTACAATACAATAAAATTGTTTTCTTAGAAGAAAAATAAATCGAATCAGATATATGGAGTTGTAAATAATATCTGTTCTAGACATATATAATTTAAGAAATATAATTAAAAAATATTACTTTTGAAAAATTTAGTGAAAAAATGCGGACGCCAATTTGAATTAGTTATCACTTTGTTAATTGTTGTATATTCATTATTCATAATTCCATAATAAAAGTACAGTTTTTATTTTTTATTGTATAAATATTAATATATTTAAGTACCCGTGTAGTAAATGGGTATCGTATTAGTTTATTAATATACCTTAAAGAACCATTTTAGTATATTATCTGAAAAAAAAAATGTAGAAATTGAGTATCAACAAAAAATGAATATGAAAAATATTCAAAAAGCTAAGTCTCAACTTAATAAAGTATGTGTACTGTAACAATAAATTTTATGAAAAACATAAAACTTTTGTACAACTTGAATATATATTAATCAAACGATATGCGGGTACAATCTCTATATGTAACCCTCTGATTCTTCTCTTCTTGGATCTTTAACTTGAATGTCGTGGATCTTCAAGAACACCTTTGGATCTTCAAGAGAATTATTGACAGCTCTTTGAATTGAGACTTTGATATATGAGGTGTTGGATTTTTTGAGGTGTGATTTTTTACCTTGAGAAGAGCCCTATTTATAGGTGTAGGAGAGAGAGTCTTGGAGAAGCAGACATCAATTTGATTGGTCCTTCATAATTTGATATAATCTCTTTCCTTATCCTAAGATTCGATATAATATCTTTCCTTATCCTAAGATTTGACTTGCTGGGCAAGAATATTTACTTTATTAATTAAATATCTTATTTATCTTGAATTTATGTCCCAAAATAAATAAATTAATGAATTATTAAAATTTCGATGTCTACAAATGCACACTTGAGACTTGTTCACGGACAAAATGTCTTGGTACTGAATGAGTCTCAAAGTTTTGAATTTGGTTGAGATATACAGATAGTTTAAACTCTTATCTAGGAGTTCTTCAACTTGGATTTGTAGATAGTTTAAACTCGTATCAAGGAGTTTTGAAGTGATTTGACAGATAGTTTATACTCGTATCAAAGAGTTCTTGATTTGGTTTAACAGATAGTTTATACTCGTATCAAGGAGTCTTGATTTGATTTGATATGTAGATAGTTTATACTCGTATCAAGGAGTCTTGATTTGGTTTGACAGATAGTTTATAATCGTATCAAGGAGTTCTTCATTTGAAATGATTTGTAGATAATTTATAATCGTATCAAGGAGTTCTTCATATGACTTGATGTGTAGATAGTTTATACTCGCATCAAAGAGTTCTTCATATGACTTGATATGTAGATAGTTTATACTCGTATCAAGGAGTTCTTCATTCGATTTGATTTATAGATAGTTTATACTCGTATCAAGGAGTGTTGATTTGATTTGACAGATGTAACGCCCCACTTTATTTTGAAAGGTTTATCGAATTAATTTATTAAAAAAATCACTATGAATTTTTCGCAAATCGCAATTAAATAAAACTTAGTGGGCGCTACTTAATTTACCAAAAGCTTTTATCCGACAATACAAACACATTAAACAAAGACAGCATGCTCGAATATTAAATCATAAACCTCACTAGCATTCATTAAGTTTCATATCATAAAAAGATAATTCATAATTCCCAAGGTCAAACGACATAATCAAATATCCAAATTTCAACATGAGTTCAAAAACTAAGCGGAAGCAAAATTAACAAAGCAATTTATCCAACATACAAAATAAATCAAAATGAACCTACACATTCATCATACTCCATAAGCAATAAAACAACAGCACAATCCAACACTTTTTCAAAATCAATCTAGTTCAAATATAATTAATTAAACCATAATGAGTTCATAAATACGAAAATAAATAATAGTCTTAAACAAAAGCAAGACCACCCACTCGCCTTGCCTCGTCACCCGCCAACTGCTTAACCTGCATCCGTGAAGAGCAGGTGGGAGTGAGTACAGTTAAATATCGTACTCACACTATGCATATGAATAACATAATAATGGTATGGTCGCAGCATGAACATAAACAATAATCACAACATGTCTCATCTCCTAATCAAAATCACACCATTTAACCTTACTCCTGTGCACATCTATCGCTAGCCGCAGAACGGGAATTCATTACCCGAAGGCGGGAGTACGTGCCACTGTAACGGACACGGCCTTCCATATGGGCTTACGTACCTCACAAGGGCACGACCATATCAGGACTTAAAGGAGATTGCCACACAAGGGCACCGTACCGTAACTCGACGGGGACAACCGTACCGACGGCCGTAACAGCTCACATCGATAGGCAACATGTTCACATGCATACATAGATCATACCAAATTTTCCACACAATTAAATCACACATATGCATAGATAATTTTAGAATAACAACCCACCTGGATTCCGGATTGATAATAACTCAAAGCAATGCAAGTAGTTCGAGGCTGGACTCCTCAATTACCTACATTGAGTTAAGATGCTACAATCAACATCTATCTTGACTTTAAACGGAAAACACAAAACAGACCTAGTCGAACTTGTTTCGACTAAGTAGTTCGTGAAGTCCTGTGGACGTTGGAACACTAAGACTCGACACTAAACTCGACCAAACCACATATGGGAGTTCACATAAATCCATCTAAGGAATTATCAAGTCAAACTCACATCAAAACGAAAAGCAAGTCGATTCCCAACTTTTATTTCAAAATCATGTTTTGAAAATAGTAATCATTAATCACATGAAAATAGATGGTCAGGATGCCCTACGACTTAAGCTCTGAAAGTTTGCCCAAAATTACATCTCCCAGAAATTAGTAAAACAACAAAATTTCAGCTTCAAACTCAAAGCACATAAATTTATAAAATTCCTACAAGAATTCAGCAAAAACGCACATGAATTTATATCTGAACCTAATGAATGAATCAGGACTTGAAAATTTAAACTCACAAGCTACAGCAGAATATAGACAACATGTAAAAATCTCAGCCCTGGACATTATCTGTGCTAATTTTAAAAATTCCGATAAGATTCAGCAGTTATTGAATTTAAATCAAAACAGGACTAAAATGAACTCCAAAAATTTTCATCTTTTAACAGCATGAATATACACCAAAAATAAACATCCAGCCAAGTTTCAGAATTTTTCATGAGCAAACCGATTTATAGTAATTCATAAAGTTTTCAGCAGAAACAGAAATTAAATTATTAACCATATCAAATTTACTCCAAAAATTCTAAAAATTCAACACAGCATATAAACACATCAGAGGCACAACATATCAAACTTTCAGCTCATTTGAATCACGAACTAATTTATTAAGCATTAAACAATTTTCTGATCAGGATTCACTTTAGTTATTAAAAATAGCTACAGGCCTCTAAAAATTACGAAATTTTTACACTAAGGCTGGAAATGAAAAGATAACATATCCCTCAAAATTTCAAGTCATTCCGAGCAGTGTGCTATTTTTAACAATTTAAACACCAAAACAGCGACATATAAGCTCAACAATTTAACAACTAATTCATAACACGAAATTTCTCGTCCGAGGCCTTCTCATAAGACCAAGGACTCGACATTGTTTCAATATCCACCGACTTACATGAGTTTTGAGGTTTCGTTCAATTTCTCATAATTGAAGAGGTCCTCGAACACTTAAACGAC